TAATTTTTAGTAAGATGGGGTTCTCCATGTGGTGCAGGCTGGTCTCCAACTCCCGACCTCAGTTGATCTGCCCGCCTCGGCTCCCAAAGTGTTTGGGATTAGAGCCCCGCGACTTGGATTTCCAAAGCTGCTATTCCTTAAGGCCTCACATTATCCCCAGTTCAAAGCTGCCTGTTCTAGTCATCATTCCTACCTCTGCCACGAACACTACCCAGGCACCCCCAACCCCTCAGCAGCCTGGGGCTGAGGGCATGTATTTCTCAGGTCCTCAAGCCCAGTAATCTTGGACTTGTGGTGTCAGGAGGATGCCAGGTCCCCTCACTGATCTTACCTTCCTTGCTCTCCACCCCTGATCCCCAGTGAACTGCATGGTTGGTTCAGAAAGGGGAAGCCATGTCATGATCACAGCCTGCTCCATCTCCCCCTACCCCAGGGCTTCTTTCGCCGCACAATCCAGAAGAACCTCCATCCCACTTATTCCTGCAAATATGACAGCTGCTGTGTCATTGACAAGATCACCCGAAATCAGTGCCAGCTCTGCCGCTTCAAGAAGTGCATCGCCGTGGGCATGGCCATGGACTGTAAGGGGCCCGGGTGGGGGGAATAGAGCCAGGTGGCCTGGGGTGGGGATGAGTTCCAGGAGGGCAGCTCCCTTCCAGCGTGCCCTCAGGGCCCACAGGGCAGAGTGGCAATCCAGTCTAGGTCAGGCTGAGGGCAGAAGGTTCAGTGTCTTGGTTCCTGCTGCCCTTCTTCCTGCGTCAAAGGAAACAGGATCCCTGTGTGGGCCCCAGTGCCTACCTGCCTTACAACACTCGAGGGCCTTAGAGGAGTTGTTTGGTAGAAAGAGCTCCTGGGCACCCACTCTAGCACATTGTTCTTGACTCCCAGCGAAGGCACCCCACTTCTAGATGAGACAGGGCACTTTCCATTGGCTGGGGATTGGGTGGCAGGATCTTGGAGTAACCACCATCACCATAACCCGATAGACCAGAACATGATATTCATCTGGATCAGCCCAAACTGTTATTGACATGGTCCCGGGGATTAACCAGGTTGTGCTGCCCAACTGCTAGGTGATTTGGGAAGTCACTTAGCCTCCATGGCCCTCGGTTTCCCTAACCTGTACTCTAGGAAGAGTAGTTTCCGGGAGCATTATGGAAAGGGGATGGAGGGTGCCATGCATCGGACCTTGTGCCTATCTGTTGACAGTGGTTCTAGATGACTCGAAGCGGGTGGCCAAGCGTAAGCTGATTGAGCAGAACCGGGAGCGGCGGCGGAAGGAGGAGATGATCCGATCACTGCAGCAGCGACCAGAACCCACTCCTGAAGAGTGGGATCTGATCCACATTGCCACAGAGGCCCATCGCAGCACCAATGCCCAGGGCAGCCATTGGAAACAGAGGCGGAAATTCCTGGTAAGGAGAAAGGGGGCATGGGGAGAGCAGCAGCCAGGTGGCAGGGAGAGGAGAGTGAGCTCAGAGTCCTGTCTCCTCCAGGAAGTCTTCTTAGTGTAATCCAACCCAAAATACATACTCTTCCCACTTTTGCTGTCCAGATTTTATACACTTGCGTTTGTGTCCTTGCTGTCTGGACCCTGTCTACTCCATCCAATTGGGAGCTCCATGAGGACAGGGCCTTGCCTTCCTCATTGAATTTCCAGGGAGCAAGGGTGACCTTGCTTCTTTTTCCTGCCCCTAGTGACTGGGAGGAGAGGGTAAGGATACAGTTATGTCACAGTATTTTTGAGTGCCTGCTGGGTGCCAGGCATTGTGTTAGGCCCTGGTCAAGCTAGTGGCTAAGTAAATGATTAGTTCAGGACCAGATGCAATGGCTCATGCCTGTAATCCCAGCAATTTGTGAGACCAAGGTGGGAGGATCGCTTGAGCCCAGGAGTTCGTCTGGGTAACATACAGAGATCCCCCCTCTATGAATAATTTTTTTTTTTTTTTTTTTGGTAACGAGTCCTCACTCTCATCCCCCAGGCTTAGAGTGCAGTGGCCATGATCTCGGCTCACCACAACCTCTGCTTCCTGGGTTCAAAGTGATTCTGCCACCTTAGTCTCCCTGAGTAGCTGGGATTACAGGCAGCTGCCACCATGTCTGGCTAATTTTTGTATTTTTTAGTAGAGACAGGGTTTCACCATGTTGGGCAGCCGGCTAGCCCTGATCTCAAGTGATCTGCCTGCCTTGGCCTCCCAAAGTGCTGAGATTACAAGGTGTGAGCCACCATGCCTAGCCTCTACGAATAATTTTTTTTTTTTTTTTTTTTTGAGATGGAGTTTTGCTCTTGTTGCCCAGGCTGAAATGCAGTGGCGCAATCTTGGTTTGCCGCACCCTCTACCTCCCAGCTTCAAGCGATTCTTCTGCCTCAACTTCCCAATATAGCTGGGATTACAGGCATGCACCACCATGCCTGGCTAATTTTGTATTTTTAGTAGATGATGGTGTTTTCTATGTTGGTCAGGCCTGTCTGGAAACTCCAACCTCAGGTAATCTAGCCTGCCTCGGCCTCCCAAAGTGCTGGGATTACAGGTGTGAACTACTGTGCTCAGCCTCTCTACAGATAATTTTTTTTTTTTTTTTTTTTTTTGAGAACGAAGTCTCGCTGTGCTCCCAGGCTGGAGTGCAGTGGCGTGATCTCGGCTCACTGCAAGTCTACAGATAATTTTAAAATTAGCTGGGCATGGTGGTGTGTACCTGTGGTCCCAGGTACTCGGGAGGCTGAGGCAGGAGGGTCCCCTAAGCCCAGGAGGTCGAGGCTGCAGTAAGCCATGATTATACCACTGCACTCCAGCCCAGGCAACAGAGCAAGACCCTCTCTCAAAAAAAAAGTGGTCGGTTTGGGAGGAGATGGACAGTTGACTCTGTGTGGTGAAGGAAGGCAGAAAACCAGCTCCTGGCTCATGGTGGAGCATGCCAGAGGGTGGCACAGTGCACTGTTAAGGGCATAGGCTCTGATTCCAAGCAGATGTATAACAGTCAGCAGTCAGACTGCCCAAGTTCAAACCCTGGTCCTACCACTTGCTGGTCATATGACTTTAACCTTATTACTTAGCTGCCCCGTGCCTTAGTTTCCACATCTGTGAAATGGTGATTATTATAATTATTCCTTTTAGGATTACGGTCAGGATGAAATAAGACATGTAAAACATGTAGCCTGATGCCTGATCATATATTAAGTATTTAGTCATTATAGCTGCTACTACTGTTGTTACCATTGTTATTATTAGCTGACTCTGGCTCTGGTCTATCCTCTGCTCAAGGTGAAGGAAAAGCTTTGGGGCTGGGACTCAGGCACTTGCGGCCCTTCTTCTCCAAGCTGCCTTGGAGCTCCCCCTGGTGGGCAGGCAGCCTCAGTGAGAGGCTGAAAGGGGTCTGCAGCCCCAGCTGACCCCTGTCTTTCTCTCTAGCCCGATGACATTGGCCAGTCACCCATCGTCTCCATGCCGGACGGAGACAAGGTGGACCTGGAAGCCTTCAGCGAGTTTACCAAGATCATCACCCCGGCCATCACCCGTGTGGTGGACTTTGCCAAAAAACTGCCCATGTTCTCCGAGGTGAGTGGCAGAAGGGAGGAGAGACGTGGTGCTGTGCTGGAGGGAAACCTTCTCCCCCGGTCACCCAGCACAGGCTCATCTGAGGCTCTCTGGACAAGGAGCAATTCCTGTAGGTCAACACACACTCAGCACACAGGCACACATGCAGACACATACACAGACACACCTAGCACACAGATACATACACACACACACATATACACACATATACACATACACCCAGCACTCAGGCACACGTGCGGATACATACACAGACACACACACCTAGCACACAGATACATACACAGACACACAGACACACACATGTACACATACACCCAGCACTCAGGCACACGTGCAGACACATACACAGACACACACACCTAGCACACAGATACATACACAGACACACACATATACACATACACCCAGCACTCAGGCACACGTGCGGATACATGCACAGAAACACACACCTAGCACACAGATACATACACAGACACACACATATACACATACACCCAGCACTCAGGCACACGTGCGGATACATGCACAGACACACACACCTAGCATGCAGATACATACACAGACACACAGACACACACATATACACATACACCCAGCACTCAGGCACACGTGCAGATACATATGCAGACACATACACCTAGCACACAGATACATACACAGACACACAGACACACACATATACACATACACCCAGCACTCAGGCACACGTGCAGATACATACGCAGACACACACACCTAGCACACAGATACATACACAGACACACA